CTTGTCCCAGTACATCCCGTGCCTTCCCTGGAGTCTGGGAGCCTCACCCGCATCTCCTGGTTTCTGCCTCCCTCATCACCCATCCCCATGTTGGCCAGACATGGGCGGTGAAGGTGACCGGAGGTCACTCCTCAAAGGGCCAGTAGGAGGGCCAGGGAGGATGGTATCCTTCCTTCCCCAGCAGCTCACCCACACATCAGCCCTATTTCAATCTCTGAAGGCAAACGGGGCTGGCGGAGAGAGGAAGCACCCGGAACTCTCCCCTGAGGGGTCCTAGGTGGGCCCACCTCCCCAGCTCTAGTCCCAGCTGTGGCACTGTGAGGAGGGGCTCACGGCTGGGGGACTTCAGGCTTCCTAGACAGCTCCCTGCAGCCCCCACACCCAGCACTGTCACCCCTTCTACAGACGGAAAGGTGAGGCTCAGGTGAACAGCCGCTTACTCTCTGTCTCCAGAGGGATACAAAAGGGTATGTTCCCCCCTCAGTTCCTCAAGGACCCCTGCCGAGCATCTTGGGAAGCCCTGTGCCAGGGAGGTGACAACTGGAGGTGGAGGGGCTGAGAGCAGGCTGTGGCTTCCTAGGCTGGGACAGCAAAGGACCCCAGGAACAAAGGTGTGGATGAAGGCTGCCCACTGGGAGACCTTAGTAAGGAACAGCAGTGGGCTCCCTGGGGGCTCAGGGCTAGCCTGGTCTCTCCCAACCCCACCAGGGAGTGTGTGGTGATGGAGTGAGGCCAGGTAACCTGGGGTGACCTTGCAGAACAGCAGGACTCTGAGGCTGGGTGGAAGATCCTACAGTTCATCCACAGCAAGAGGCAGAAAACCTATACCCTTCAAGGTGGTGGGGCCCAGGGAAGATGAGAGCAAGAGGCTAGCCATGTCACCACTGTAACCTTCCCCGCTTCCCCAGCTTCTTGCTCAAGGAGGATGGGGTGGGGGTCCCCAAAGCCCAGACCAGCAGGGGGAACAGGGGACCTGGAGAACGTGGTGAGTGATCCGTGTGCTCGTGTGTGTAGGCACGTGTGTGTATGTGTGCATGACTACAAACAGATGTGTGCTGTATGTGTGTACACACACATGTGTGCATGTATAGGTGAGGAAGTGAGCTCTTCCCTGAAGCAGCTGCACCCACCCTCAGCTGCTCAGTGTCTACTGCAGTTAGGGGTTGGGGGGCATTAATAGGCCAGACCCTCATTCTCGGGCAGCAGCTAACCCTGTGAAAACCTTGGCGATCAGTGCAACACAGGATGGTGTGTGCCAACCAGGCTGTGTCCGGGTCCTTGGAGCCAGGCAGGGATGGCTGAAGCTACCACAAGGGGGCCAGGGAGATTAGGAGTATGTGCTCTGAGGGGCAGAGTGGCGATGCAGGGGCAGGATGCCTGGGTCTTACTGATATTACCCTGAGTACCTCTGAAGGCCCAGGCTGTCCATAAGCATCCAGGAAAGGGGTGTGAGCCTATCAGGATGCACATGTCGTCAAGCAGTTTCAGGAGTAGGGGAGAGAGTTCAAGGCTCCAGGGACAGAATCAGGACAGGGAGGCTGGAGAGGTCTGAGACTGGTGGCTCAGGGCTCCCTGAGATTGTGCATAAGAGAAGAGGACCCCAGACTGAAATGGGTATCACTGCATCCCTGGATCAGAATCTGGGGGCTGAAAGCCTGGAGCCCTGGGGTAGAGGCCAGAATGGAGAGCCGCCTGAACCAGGGCTTTAGAGCTGCACAGACCCCCGTGGTTGCCCTGGCCTGGCCCGCATCCCCGTAGGACTCCCTCTTGCTCTGGCAGACCAGGCATCAAAAAGCAGACCAGCTTGATTCTGGGAGATGGGTCCTCCGGCCCCCTCTCTGCCCAGGCTCAGCCCCCAGCCCCTCTCCAGTCCCTCCCCATCCCACCAGCACTCAGGCCCTGTCCCTCTAGTCAGGAAACAGGCTGGTGGGGGCTAGAGAAGGAAAGTCTCCTCTTATAAGAGGCTCCCCCTCCTGGGCAGTGGGGAGCCAACCCAGCCTCATTCCTAGAGGCGGAAGAACGGAGCCTCAGGCTCCAATGCGGGGGTTTGCTGAGGGCTTCTGGGGCGATAATTGGGCAGCGATTAAGTGTTCCCAGAGCAGCAGCTGCTGCCTGTCACCTGTCACCATGACCTTATGTTCACAGCTTCTGCAGACCCTGCAGAGAGGGAGTGGGAACCGTGGGTCCTGCCCTCCCCCACTCCCTGAGCCTCATGCTCCCGTAGCAGTCTAGATGGGCCACCCATGTCCAGCTCTGCTGCAGCAAGCAATGGGAAGAGGTGGCGAGTGGCCATGGCATCCTGGGGGCACCAGGTCTCCTCCCCAAGGGTCTGCTTTAAACTGAGCCCTAGACTGCTCTCTGGACTCTCTTGGAAACTCCCTCCCCGGTCTATCCACCCACAGGGCTGCTGCTGACCTTGCAGGCCCAGTGTGGCAGCGCAGCACCCCAGGTCACAGTCAGCATCTTCGCATCCCCAGCCTCTTACTCACGAAGTTATCCTTGGGGGCTGCCTGGGGTGGGGCTAGAGGCAGCTGGAGACCACTGCAGCGCAGAGGCCTGAGAGCCTGCCCCGGCCTATCAGGTCACAAACATGTGAAACATCGGGGGCTGGCCCCTGGCTCTTGCGTGCATGGACACACAGGCACAGCAAGTGCCAAGCTGCCTGGTCAGCCCACCTCAAGTTACCGGCTCCTGGTCCTGTGCTGACCTGCGCAGGTGCCTCTGGGCTAGGACGCCCCTGCAGCCTCCGACTCCTGGGATTCCTCCACGGGAAGGGAAGGTGCCAGTGGGTTCTCATTTCTGCAGTTTCTCTGCCGAGCTCCCCCTCCCAGTGGTGCCCCTCCACCCTCCCTTCTTTGTTCGCCCACTCACCTTTAATTAGAAATGCCAGGAGAGCCATTTTGGGGGAGTTTTTTTTTTTCCAGAAAGACATTCCCCTCAGGGAGGAAGCCCAGGAGAGGGGGGAGGGGCGAAGAGAGAAGGGGGGGCTGATGTGGGGATTCCAGTGGGAAGGAGAACTAGACAGGTGGGTTGGGGGCTCTGGGATGGGCGTATGCTGGGGTCTGAGTGGGGGATGAGCGCACGCCAGGCTCTGAGGGAGGTGAGTATACAGGGGTCTGAGTGTGTGTGGGGGGTGAGTGTATGCAGGGCTCTGGGTATGGGGATGAGTGTATGCGAGTCCCTGAGTGGGGGCTATGAGTGTATGCAGAGCTCTGAGTGGGGGAGGAAGGTATGCGAGTCCCTGAGTGGGGAGGAGGGTGTGTAGGGGTCTGGGTATGGGGATGAGTATGTGTGAGTCCCTGAGTGGGGGCTATGAGTGTATGCAGGGCTCTGAGTAGGGGGAGGAGGGTATGCAGGGGTCTGGGTATGAGGATGAGTATGTGTGAGTCCCTGAGAGGAGGCTATGAGTGTATGCAGAGCTCTGAGTGGGGGAGGAGGGTATGCAGGGGTCTGGGTATGGGGATGAGTGTGTGTGAGTCCCTGAGAGGAGGCTATGAGTGTATGCAGGGCTCTGAGCAGGGGGGCAGGGTATGCAGGGCTCTGAGTTGGGGAGGAGGGTATGCAGGGCTCTGAGTTGGGGAGGAGGGTATGCAGGGCTCTGGGTATGGGGATAAGTGTATTCGAGTCCCTGAGTGGGGGGGATGACTACATACAAGGATTTGAGTAGGGGGTGTGAGTGTGGGCTGGACTCTGAGTTGGGGGTAGGAGTGTGCATGAGGGCTCTGAGTGGGGAGTAAGTGTTGGAGGGGCTATGACTGTGCAGTGTGGCTGTGTCTGAGAGAATGACAGGGAGAAGCAGCAGCAAGGGATATGGTGTCCTGGCTGTCACTGTGTGTCCCTGGGCTCTGCTGTGGGTAATGGTGTCACCTGTTCCCAGGTAACATCAGAAGACGACAGGCCCAGCCTCATCCATCCAATCCAGCACCGGAGTAACCCTGGAAGTGTGTCCCACCCCTCCCCTACTGCTCCAGTTGCCAGGGAAGCGGAAGGGGCCTCCCTCCCCAGGGAATCTCAGTTTCCGGAGCCCCATTCCTTATATGGCATCTTGCTTTCCTCTGCCTCTCCCGGCTGCCAGGGCTGCCAGCACCCTTCTGCACCTCCCTCCTCCCTCCTCCCTTTCCTTCCTCTTTCTTCCCTCCCTCCTCTCTCCCTGTTCCTGACTGTTAGAAATTTTGGAGCCTCTGGCCAGGCTCTGCCTGTGACCTGAGGTCTCAGGTCCAGCACCCTTCCCTCGGCTAAATGACCCAGCACCTCCTCAGACACCCGGCCCCACTGTCCTCAGGTATCAACTTCCACATACCTTGGGGCCTAAGTGAGGTCCAGGGCCTCAACAAAGGCCTGGCTGTGGGGCACTGCGGGGGCCCAGTCCAGCCACATCCAGTCACTGTGTCGTCACACCACAGCACCAATGCCAGAGCCCAGGCAGAGGCTCAGGTGGGTGTTTGTCCCTCGTACAGATCCAGAATATGGGCCAGACTCGGGATTCAGGCCCCGGGGGCAGGGATGGGAGGAGACAGTGGGCGTGGACTCACTGGATCCCCACCTGAAGGCAGAGGGGCTTTGGGGGAGGGTGTGCTAGGGCTCCTCAGCAGTGGTCTGTCCTGTAAAGCCAGGGCAGCAAGGAGTCCGCAGAGCAGTGTCCAGCGGGACCCCTCCTTTAGGAGAGAGATCATGAGACCCTGGGAGCGGGGGCACCAGGCAGCCTTCGCCCGCCCTCGCTGGCCAGACAGTGGCGAGGTCCTCCAGGCTGAAGGAGCCAGCCTGGTGGGAGGCGCGCGCGGCAGTATTAGTCACCCCAGCCCTGCAGAGTGTGCAGGGGGCGGGTCCTCGCTTGCTCGCCTGCCAGGCCGCCCGGAGGCGCGAGTGGGCGTGGGAGGCGGGGTCTGCAGCGAGCGGGGAGCGGGGGGCCAATGGGAGCTGGAGCCCGTAGAGAGGCCGCCCACAGCCGCGGGCTTCATAAAGAGCCGGCGGCGGAGGCTCCGCACAGAGCTCGGCAGCGTCCTCCCTCCGCAGTACCTGCCGCTCTTCCTGCTGATCCGACCGCAGCATCAGCCGCTTCGCCGCCGCCAGCTGCTGTGCCTGTCCCGACAGCCACCGCCAGTCCCGCCAGTTCGGAGTGCCACTGCCTGAGCGAAGATGGAGCTGGACCACATGACGAGCGGCGGCCTCCACGCCTATCCCGGGGCACGGGGCGCGCCGGTGGCCAAGCCGAATGTGATCCTGCAGATCGGTAAGTGCCGGGCGGAGATGCTGGAGCATGTGCGGAGGACCCACCGGCACCTGCTGACCGAGGTGTCCAAGCAAGTGGAGCGTGAGCTGAAGGGGCTGCACAGGTCCGTGGGCAAGCTGGAGAACAACCTGGACGGCTATGTGCCCACGGGCGACTCGCAGCGCTGGAAGAAGTCCATCAAGGCCTGCCTCTGCCGCTGCCAGGAGACCATCGCCAACCTGGAGCGCTGGGTGAAGCGTGAGATGCACGTGTGGCGAGAAGTCTTCTACCGGCTGGAGAGGTGGGCTGACCGCCTCGAGTCCATGGGTGGCAAGTACCCGGTGGGCAGCGAGCCGGCCCGCCACACCGTCTCTGTGGGTGTCGGAGGTCCTGAGAGCTACTGCCACGAGACTGATGGCTATGACTATACGGTCAGCCCCTATGCCATCACCCCTCCGCCGGCAGCTGGTGAGCTGCCGGGACAGGACCCAGCTGAGGCCCAGCAGTACCCACCATGGGGGCCGGGTGAAGATGGGCAGCCAAGCCCTGGAGTGGACACGCAGATCTTCGAGGACCCACGGGAGTTCCTGAGCCACCTGGAGGAGTACCTGCGGCAGGTGGGTGGCTCTGAGGAGTACTGGCTGTCCCAGATCCAGAACCACATGAATGGGCCAGCCAAGAAGTGGTGGGAGTACAAACAGGGCTCGGTGAAGAACTGGGTGGAGTTCAAGAAGGAGTTCTTACAGTACAGCGAGGGCACCCTGTCCCGGGAGGCCATCCAGCGTGAACTGGACCTGCCGCAGAAGCAGGGAGAGCCACTGGACCAGTTCCTGTGGCGCAAGCGGGACCTGTACCAGACACTGTATGTGGATGCCGAGGAGGAGGAGATCATCCAGTATGTGGTGGGCACCTTGCAGCCCAAGCTGAAGCGCTTTCTTCGACACCCACTACCCAAGACCCTGGAACAGCTCATCCAGAGGGGCATGGAAGTGCAGGATGGCCTGGAGCAGGCAGCTGAGCCAGCTGGGCCCCAGCTGCCTGCTGAGGATGAGGCTGAGGCCCTTACACCTGCCCTCACCAGTGAGTCTGTGGCCAGTGACCGGACACAGCCTGAGTAGAGGGCATCCCAGAGCCCCTAACCTACCTGCCACATCCACCATGTGGCCTTTGCCAACCAGGACTTGAGCTTTGGCTGACTCACACAGGGGCAGCCCTTGTCCAGCCAGGGAGCCCCTTGGCCTCCTGGCACTGCTCACACAGAAAGATGCCATTCAGCTGTGCTCATCACCCAAAACAGCAAAGGAGCCCCTCCCCTGCAGGGCTCCTGCCTGTCGCCTTCCCCTCTGTCTGTCTTCCTGGCCCTGGCCTTGCTTGAGCTGGCAAGTGGCTCCACCCTCCACGCTCTCAGGCCATCACAGACCATCCTCGGCTTCCTCATTCTGCTCCAATACCTGGGCCCTCTAGGCACCCAAAAAACCAAGTGTCTGAAGACAAGGGCCAGTGGGCTCCAAGCTCCTGGGGCACCCCAGGGCAGAAGCTAAGGTAGAACCAGTGCCAAAGGAACCTCAACTTCCAGAGACGGCACCCCTGACAAACACTGCAGAGCTAGCTGACACCCTCCTCGCCTCCCAGAACAGTTGGCCAGCTTTGAGCAGCATGGCTTCCCTCCCCAGGGAAAGCCAAAACCACAAATGCAACAGCAGCAGCAGCAGCAGCAGCAGCAGCAGCAGCAGCAGCAGACCTGACATCGTGGTGCCTCCTGGCCCCCAGGTGAGCCCCTGCCCCCAGAGCATCTTAGAACTGGGAGGGTCCATAGCAAAGGTCCATTTTCCAGGTAAACTTACTGAGGTTCAGAGGTTTTCCCAGCAAGTTAGCTGCAGGGAAGGGGTGTGGGTGCAGAGTCCCTAGGGACCAAGAAAAGGGACAGGTGGGAGGCAGTGCTGGGGGAACCTGCAGAGTCGGCTCACAGGGACCCTGTTCTTTCTCATCCCAGTGCAGTGATTCACACCAGCCTGGGGAAGAATCAGAACTCAGTTCGGTGACTCACGCATGGCAGGCGGAGGGTCCCAGAGAAACTGAATCCTCAAATCCGGCTGAGGCAGCAGCCGGCACCTTTGGAGCCAGGAGAATGACAACAGGTAAGGGGAGTCCCATCCCTTCTGCCCAGGAGTGTCCCTTGTCTATCCTAACCAGACATGAGCTCCTTCCCAGGCCCCAGTTTCTGGGCATTGCCCAGCCCTCTGGGCAATCTGAGAGACTCTTCCTGGATTCCAGAACTCCAGCCCATCTGTCATCTACCCCTGTCCTTCCTGTGGGCCCAAATGATATGCAGGCACTGTCGCTGACAGCCCGGCCTTTTCCTCTTTCCTTCAGGTCTCAAGGCTGTCTCCAGAACTTTGCTGTTGCACCTTGCACCGTCTCCTTTCCTCTCTCAAAGCAGCCTGCATAGAAGTCCCAGGACAGCTGAGAGAGGGCAGCTCCAGAGAGGAAGCAGCCTGGCAGAGGGCAGCACCCCAGCTCCGCCCAAGAGCTGGTGATGAAGACAGGCCAGCATGAGGGCCAGGACCTGCCACTATGCCTGCCCCGCTGGCCACCAGCTGCCTGTTCCCAGAGCCACTGCAGCTGGAGCGGGGTCTGCTTCCCTGGCAACCCCCTGCTCGCTGCATGGCCATTACCTGCTGCCAGAGCCTTTCAGGAGCTCTGAGGCCAGGGCCCTAGCTGCTACTCCTGCCTGGCGCCCACAAATCCAGCCCCAGAAGAGCCCTAGACCACTGCTCCTGGGCATCCTAGGTGCTCTGTCCTGCTCTGCTGTTGCTTAGGATGGGCTCCCGTCACTGCCTCAGCACCAGCACCACGGTACTGGGAGCCCTTGGTGTCTGCAGCCCAAGCAGGCCCTGCGTGGAGGTTCCTCTTTCTGCCTTGCCCACTGCATTCCAGATTCTGGGGACCAGCTCTGCAGGTCCAACCTGTGCCCCTGCCAGCCCCCACAGATTTTATTCTTTGCACATAAGCCATAACCTTTACACATTGGCCAGCACCAGCCACATGGAGGCCCGGGGACCTGGGAAGACCCTGGACACCTCAAGAGGGTGTGACTGCCCCTTACCAGACCAGGCCATGGGTTTTTGGCCAGGATATGTACCCCTGCCACCTCACCTTGAAGACAGGCTCTTTTTATAAGATTTTGTTAATAAAACATTGAAACTTCTTGGAGTGTTTGTGCTGTTTCTCTAAGGGTACAACTGGTGGGAGCGGATGTGGGGAGGCCCCCTAGCCTGAGGTGACAATGGAGCCTCCATGAGTACAGAAACGGGGCTCAGTCAGGGCCCTAGATCCTTGGTCTAGAAAGGCCCAAGCACTCCACACCCAGAGACCTTCCCTGGTCCCTCCCCGACCCTTTCTCCCCCCCACACCCCCAGCCTGGCTCCCAGCCTGAGGCGGAGGGGTAAGAGCCAGTTCCTGCTGAGCTGAGGACTGTCTCTCAGTGAGTGCAGCCGGAGTTCTGGTGGGCAGTAGGGCCTGTACAGGGTATCTACTGCCCACATAGCCTGGAGAAAGGGTGACATGATCAATGCAGGAAAAGGACCCTGGCCAGCCCTGGTTGTAGGACGCTGGAATTGGTCTCCCTAAACCTAATTTTCCTCATCTGCCAATAACCCCTGGTACTACCCACGTGCAGGCCAAGAACTTAGCAAGGAGAGAATTTTGCTGCCCGGTGGGAGATCAGCTTCCCCTGCCTTTGGAGAGGGTGGCAGTTTCCCAAAGGCGGGGGAGAGGGCCTGAAGTGTGCTCCGACCTCTGTACCCGTCAGTGTTTGATGGGAAGCAGGACTCAGAGGAGACAGGCAGTGAGAGGGTAGGGTTTTTTCAGGCCAGCACAAAATCTTCTGGCCAGCACAAAATCTTCCAGCCAGCTGGAAGTCTGGGCAGGGGCAAGAGCTGGCATCCACAGGAGAAATTTCTTCTCCGGTAGGGAAGCCTCAGGGCTGCCCCATAGGCTTTCAGTGGGCTGAGTCAGGCTGTCCACACGATGCAAGGTAGTCGTCCTTCTGCCCGCAGACTCTGGGCTTTCCTCACGCCTGCAAACACCCTCAGCGCCATCTCTGGATTGGGATTAGAGCAACTGGATGAAGCCTGACTGGCTAGACCGTCCCAGCTTCCGTGGTCCATGCAGGTGCTTGTCAGTCACTCCTGGACTTTCAGATGGAATTGCTGTGCTTGGAGGGGCCTGGGCAGGGCAGCCAGGGCATCATGGGTAGTGCCAGCCAGGTCCAGTGAGGGCAAAGGGACACCTGCTGGGCTCCTGGCCAAAGTGCAGCCCTCACTGCACCTGCCAAGGAGAGAATAGAACCTGCAGGGCACAGAGAGCAGGTCTGGGGGGAGGACACAGATGGAGCAGCAGGGAGGGCCACCTGCTGCCAGGAAATGTCATCACGCTCATCACAGGCCGGAGTGTGCGCGGGATAAAAGGCTATCTCCTCCTTCCTCTCCCCTTTTCCTTTTAAATAACAAAACTGCTGCCCAGAGGCAGGAGAGGAGAAGTCAGGGAGTAGAGGCAGCACCATCTGCACACACCACAACCCAAGGAAAGTTGAGGGCTGTGCTTATGTCACCCCACCTCGTAACTGGCAGGCGGTCCAGCAATTGGGACAGCTCCAAGTCCATTACCAAGAAAACAGGCAGATGAATAGGTGGGGGATGTGACACAGGGCTCAAGAGCCTACTGCATACCTCCAAATCCCGTCACCACCTTGTCTGCCCAGCCAGATATCACAGCTCAGTCTCATCTCCCTACTACAAAACAGGGAAACTGAGGTAAGGAGTAAGCTAGTGCTTTCTCTGAGCCTTGGGACAGGACTGGGCCTGAGGTAAGGGATCCTGGGGAATGCTGAGGGCTCATCTTGCAGACCAGGCATGATGGGCTTTAGCACAACCAAGCACTGCTACATCTGCCTCAGGGAGCCAGTGCTGCCTCTGGGGGCTAAGAAACCATAGCAATGGGGGAAGTGCCCAGTCAGGCTCCCGTAATGCAGGTCCTAACCTTAGTGCTTCTTCTCAGAAGAGGAGCATTAAATCTCTGCCTCCTGCTTTGGGTAGGGGTCAAAGGCAGATAAAAGAGAGCCATGCTTGGCGGGGGCACCCAAGGGCTAGGCATGGGAAGGAGGGCTCTGGGGGATGTGGATATCAGGAGACCTGAGGCAGGATGGACAACAGGGCACGGGAGACCACTTCTGAGCCCTGGCCTTGGCCAAACAGGGACACTTCATTCCTGCAGGGTGAGGGTGGAAGGCTCCTGGTGCCTCCTCGTGTCTTTTGGTCTGTTCCAAGCTCAGGGGACTCTCCCACACTTGCCTAGAGCTCCCAGCTTGTGGCCTGTGTTCACAGGCTCACTGTGGCATATATTAATCTACTTGCCCTGGGAAGAGACCAGGCAACCCCCTTGGCTGGGGGTGAGGCAGCTACTGTCAGTAACTGTGGGACAGAGTCCTGAGGCTGTCCAGCACCATTCTCTCTGGGAAGGAGCCACAGAGCTGGAATGGCCATTCCTTGTGAAGATGGGGAAACCGAGGCGCAAGAGAGTCAGGGAGTCACTAGGTGAACTCAGTGTCCTGTGGAAGTCCATCCTTCCTCAAGGTACTTCTCTTTTCTTATGCTCCGTAGGCACAAAACCAGTGGCCTCACTTTGCCCACTGCAAACTGAACCTCACCTAAATAACCATAGTTAACTCCAGTGCTGCCCGGACACTTCCTGGCGTCTCTTTTCTTTGTTTTTTGTTTTTTTCCGGTACCGGGAATAGAACTCATGACCTCGTGCTTGCCAGGCAGGCGCTGTGCCACTGAGCTAAATCCCCAGCTCCCCTTCCTGGGGTCTTGAAAACAGTCTGGACAAGAGGTGAGATAAAAGTCTATCCTATACTTCCACCGCTATGGGAACCCCAGTCTGCACAGTGGAGTGCACCTACCAAGACCCGTTCCTGATAGCAGGCTTTCTCCTCCCTATGTCCCAGAATGACTGCTCAACTCTAACCCTAACCCGAACCTGAACCCAAATCTGAACCCGAACTCTAACCCTAACCAGGCTGAGGCAAACCCAACTCCCAATCCCAGGTGACAGCCTGCTTAGCAGCTTTGGGCTTTGTGGGATAACCTCTTGTGCAACCAGATTGCCACTGTGGGGAAATCATCCTTGTGTTTAGTTATCACAACTGTGAACCATCACCCCAGGCAGAGGACTATGGCTCCAGCCCCGTCTCACACAGTGCTCAGCTTCCCAGAAACTTCAGACCTCACCCTCTCCTGGGTCCCCACCCTAACCGGGCCCTTCCCACAGAGCCTCCTCTCTTTCTTCTCTCTTCTCTGTCTCTGTCTCTCTCGCTGTCTCTGATTCTCTCCCTCCCTCTCTCATTTCCTCCTCTCTCTCCTCCTCTCTCTCCTCCTCTCTCCCTTCCTTTCTCTCTCTCTCTCTTCCTCCCCGCTGCTGTGTTGCTTCCCCTACTGCCCACTCATTCCTTAATTCCATCCCCCAGCCAGGACACTTAGGGACACTCCTGGATTTGTCCTTGGTTTGTCTGCTTTCTGGAGTCAGAGCCCCACTCCCGGCTTAAAAATATCTTTAAAACTAAAATGTTGACAGGAGTCTTGACCCAGGCCTTTGGGCCATCCCTCCAGCTGCCTGATAGAGCCCAATTCCAGGCCAGCTCACCAGTGTCCCCCCATGAGGCCCACCCTCCCTCCTCTCACTCCCCACAGCCTTCTGGCCCCTCCCCATCCTGCCTGGCACTCTGTGCCTCCAGAGTCTCTGAGGCAGAGCTTCTTGGGTGTGGGTAACCTCGGCTACCCGTGTAATTGGGTGGGTAGGGACTCCCACCCCCGCTGACACTCATCAGCTTCCTCCCTGCTCATCTCTGTGCGCTGTGTCCCTCCAGAAGGCCTCCTCCCTCTGATGGGTCCCAGGGTACAGCAGCCAGTCCTGAGTCCCTTCCATGTCCACAGTAGGTCCCAGCCCTGTGCCGCGCATGCCAAGACTTGACTGGGGTCACTGAGAACACCTCAGACTACCCTCAAGGAGGAAAGTCTTACTTGGGGGCTGTCCCCCAAAGACAGCAGCTCTGAGGAGGGGGACATCCTGACTCTGAGGGTCTCTGAAGAGGGAAGGAAGCCCTGGCCAGGATGGCTCAGCTCCCTCCTCAGCTGGGAGGGAGAGTCAGCCAGCCCCCATACTGTCCCCAACGCTGCCCTTGCCTGCCTCCCTGCCACTCTGGGTGCTCCATGGGGGCAGTAAAACCACTCGTCTGCAGAGAATGTGCCAAACTCCTACTCACCCTCCGCAGCTTGATCCCAGGCTTCTGCCTGGAGGGCACCCTGCCCCTCACTCTGTGCCCTAGGCAGCCCTGACCTCTCTTGCTTTGCACTGGCACTTGCCCAGTGTTCGCTGAGGATAGAGAGCCCAGGTCAGCCCTACACCCACCTCCCTGGCCAGTATGCTCCCAGAATGGATCCTCTGCACACCTCAACTCCCACTCCCAGGGCCAGGATCCTGCTGCTGCCTGTCTGGCGTTGTCCTTGCCAGGAGACGGGGCTATGGAGGAGGCTATTTTTAGCTTCTGCTATTCCCCCGTAATTATCTTGTCTCTGCTTTGCCCTGACACCTGGCACCTGGTACAGTCCCACTGGAAAATATTGCTCCATTTCCATGCTCAGGACTATTGGGAACAGGAAGTCAGTGTCCAAAGATAGGGGGTGATGAGCACAATCAAGGGCCTTCTTCACTCACACCTCACATTTCTGGGGGGTACTCTGCCCCTTCTGGAGATGTTGGCTCCACCCGACCAAGGCCAGGACAGCCTCAAAGGAGGTTAGGAGGCTCCACAGGAGAATAAGGGTGGGAGAGTGGCTGGAGGTTTCAGAATACGGGTCTGCTTGTGCCTCCACAGCCCTCAAAATAGGGCCCGGCCTCAGGGAGCAGAAACACTCTGGTCCTGCGATGAGGCAGGAGGCTTGTGGTTCACTCAGACCCGTGGTCTCTCCTGGGCCCTGCCCTGGGTAAGAAGGTGCCCTGTGCACTCTGGCTGCTCCTTGAAGCTGTGAGGCGACATGACAGAGGCTCTTCCTTCCAGCGCTTGCAAGTAGGCCCCCACTGGCAGGGCCCCTCTGTCCAGAGCAGACGAAGCAGCAAGTAAGCATGTGTGGGGAGGGTTGACTGGATTGG